TTCCCTATAGCACTGTGGAGTAGCTCTTAGAATTCAATATGCTTATTGAATAGTGAGTTCCACAGAGTATCTCATTAGATGTTTTGGAAAATGCATATCTTCTTTGAGGTCACCAGAATCCTGGCACCTGACACGGGACCTCAATCAACTGGACTTCCAACTATTCCAGAATGAGCTTAGACATTGGGAGCTCATCATCCTTCTCCTCCTCCCTTTCTTATATCAATCATTAGACTTGTGTAAGACTTCCTCTCACAACTTAATATCTAAGGCTTTGATGCCTAGAAAGAGTTGATGTGTGTGCTAAAAAAGAGAGAGAGAGAAATGAATTACTTATTGAGTCTCATTACTGAAGTAAAATGATTTTTTAATTTAAAATGTCTATCTGTTTAAACAATAGTCTCCAATTTTTTTGATCATACATCCTTTTCAGTAAAAAATGTTTGAACAAGCACCACCAATATGATATATTTACGTGTTTATTAAGTATATACATGTATTGCTTCACTATTGATTAGGAACATCAGAAAGCTTACACAAAAATAGTAATTTAAAAAGATGAGATTAAGATGAAATCATATTTGATCCTAGAATCAATAGAGAGTCATCGGGGATTATTGAGATGGGGGAGAAGTGGCATACAAAGTCAGACCTCTGTGTTAGGAAAATCACTTTGGACAGCCTTGTGGAGAATGGATTGGAAGGGGGGGACAGGGACTTGAGACCAATTAGGAGATTATTGCAAAAGGTCAGGTGGGAGGTGATACAGGTCTGAACGAAGGGGTAGTTGTGTGAGTAGAACAAAGGGCACAGATATAAGAAATGTGGAGGCAGAACAGGATTTGGTAACCATTGAGTGGGTGTGGGGTGATGCAAAGTGAGGAGTCAAAGGTTAGGAAAACCTGAGTGACAAAAACGATGGTGGATCCCTGGATGATGGGAAGATGGGCAGGGCTGGAAGTAAAGATAATGTAATGATTCCTGGCATCTAGATGCCAGTCCATCCTTGCTTACTCGCTTTGTGTGATTCACTCTGATCCCACTCAAAATGAAAGGGGTGGGGATCTTACTCACAGGTCACTACCCCAGTGCAGGACCCAGAACCTACCCTCCTCTCACAGCCACAGGGTGACCTGTGCAGCACAGAGGGTGGGGGCAGAATTTTCTCACAGTCACCTACCCAACTGCTGTGAGCACTGATTAGTGTAAGTTATAAATGTCCCAGGGTCCACCGCCTGAAAGGGAGTGGTTGGGAACATGCACAGCAGAAGTGGGATAAAGATGAGTATGAGTGCATTGGAGACAAGTCCTACACGTAGCTTTCTCAGAGAGGGTGGCATGCAACCTGTCTTTACATTTACTGATTAGTTGATCACACACCCGTTGGCATCAGGCCATTGTCCCTGCTATAGAGACCGCTGGCTGAGAGCACTGTCATTCAGCCCAATGCTGTCTGGATTTTAGACGAATTCCAAGAAAATCTACATCGATGATTGGATCAGACTCCTGGAAAAAAAAATGAAATAAAACCTATGGCGTTTGTATCTAAGTAAAACCTTTGCAGAATTTAAATACCACAGGAAATGATTCTACAGGTGTCCCTCCTGTGACCTGCATGTGGTTACAACTGTATCTCAATTGCAATCACCATCTGCTTTTAGAATAGCACATCTGAGTTTCACAGTAAGTACAGGTGATGCCATACATACATAAAATAATTCACATTTACATAGGGCTTTAGATTTACAGTGTGCTTTCCCCACAGTAACCCTATGAGTTAAGTAGTATTATTATCCCCATTTTAAGTGATGGGAAGACTAAGGCTCAGAAGGGTAACATGAACTGGCCAAAGTCACACAGGGAGATGTTTTCCAACTCAATATTCAAAAATAGGTCTCCTGATCCTGTGCCCAATGCCCATGATGGCTGTTATAGCCCTAGAAAAGTATAAACATAAAAATTATAAATCTTCTATATGTCCAACTAGATACTGTTAAGTACACTATGATTCTGGTGAGCTTGTGCAGATGCCCCGTCTATGGAGTAGTGGCTAGAGGGCTGGATCTGGAATCAGGAAGACCTGAGTTCAAATGTGACCTCAGATGCTTACTAGCTCTGTGACCTTGGGCAAGTCACTTCATTTCTATCTGCCTCAATTTCCTCAACTGTAAAATGGGAATAATAATATCTTTCTGGGTGGGTGTGAGGATCAAACAGGATAACATTTTAAAGTACCTGGCACATAATAGGCATTTAATAAATGTACCTTCCCTTCCTTTCTTTTTCCTTTTCCCTTCTGTCCTATTCTTAACCTGGCCTTGGTGTTATCTCAAGCTTTCTGATGGAGGAGCTTTCCATGGATAAATGAAGTGAAATTCTTAGAGAAGCAGTGAGAATTTTGAAGGACACGCTTTCACACTTCAGGCCTCTTCTTTAGCCTCAGCTCATGTCTCTACTTCAAGATCCATGTTTCAAATTGGGGACTGATTGAGGAGGGGAATGAAAGAGAAAAAAAACCAAGTGGTTTATACTGTTAGTTTAGTTCAGGAAATGGCTTTGTTGGTGCAATTCTAGCTTTGACAAAGGAATGTCAATTCATTCTTTAGGAGTTGTTCATACTTTATGTCAAATAATTACTCTGATCCTGTCTGTTCCTGTGGCACAAAGAAAGGGATTAGAAGAGCAAACTGGCTTTCAGTGAGGACTTGGGATCTTGTAGGTCAACTCATTCAGACAGGAACTGGAATTTCCAGGTAATGGATCCTCTGGGAAGCAAACCTTTCTCAGATAGTAAGTTGTTTAATGCTATGAATAAGAACAGACAACTTACTTACTAAATGTTACCCTTGTGCCCTGAAAGAGTTTATTCATCTCTTTGGGGAAATACTTCTGCCTCTTCATCTGGCCACCCCTCTCCAGACATTCTGTCTCCCAAGCTGTATCACATGTCTCAAATGCACAACTCACCTTCTCTACTGCTTCACCCCCTACTCATTAAATCTCATCAGCCTGTTTCTCCTATTACACAAACTTGCTTCTGAAATACCATGGCTTCCAGAAAGCCTTCCTAGATAAGGGAAATGAAAGTCTATTCATGATATTGCTGACCCTCCCTGGGCCAAAGTTGAAACTCCAATCACCACTCCAATCATCTCCACTTCCATCCCATCTTCCACCCCAGTTATGTGCTGGTACACTACATTGCATTTGCCTCCTAGCGGGTATTTATTGCTAAGATGTTACTCTCTAGTTTTTCAGAACTATCCCTGTTGTTGTTCAGTCATTTTAGTCCCGTCCAACTCTTCATGACCCCATTTGAGGTTTTCTTGGCAAAGACACTGGAGTGATTAGCCAATCCCTTTTCCAGCTCATTTTTACAGATGAAGAAACTGAGACAAACAGGGATAAGTGACTTGCCCAGAGTCACACATCTAGTAAGTGTCTGAGGCTGGATTTGAACTCAAGAAGATGTCTTCCTGATTCCAGGCCTGGTACTCTGTCCACTGCAAGGAGGCATCAGCCTAGGGGAAATCGGGTGATGCTGACAAAAATAAAAAAAAGACAAGATCCTGGTGCATATATTCAATCCATAAAGATCCTCTCTCTCCCTCCTGCATCTCTAAAGTAAAGTGGCTAGTACTTTTCTTCTTCTGTGTGTTCTCCTCAGCCCTCCTATTTTTGGTGACTTCTTTCCCTATATATATCTCTCCTTGATCTTCATCTTCATCTTAATTTCATCTAAACAAAAATATTTGAGGAATTAGAGTGGGGAACGTAAAGTGTAATTTATTCTGGACCCTGAAACCTCTTGATATTTTGTGTTTTTAACCATTTCAACGCTATTTTTTTGTCTCTAGGTATGGATGGATGGATGGTTGAGTGAATGAAAAAGAGCTTATTATATGCAAAGCACTGTCCTAAGGACTGGAGATACAAATAGATAAGCAAGACAGTCCCTGATTCCTGAGAACTCACATTGTAATAGGGGGATACAATGCGCAAGGGAAGTTGCAACTGTGTCAGATGGAAAAACTCCTCAGATCTTAGGATGCAGCAGGAAAGCAGATGATTTCCGTTAATCTGGAAATAGCCTGATTTGGCACAGAAGTGTTTGCCAAAGTGAAACTCTGGGAGTGGCAATGTATATTCAGGTATTCTTCATTCACAGCGTTCTGTATGTACAGGGACTGACAGATTGGGAGATCTCAGAACTGAAAGGGCCCTGGGAGGCATCTAGTCCAACTTCATGGACCTTGATGGATTAGTCCATCTTTTGGGACCCTTCAGGAGAAACCTCTCTTTTATAGACCACCTCTGCTTGAAATGACATGCTAGTTTTTAATCCCAAATTTACAAATGAATCAAAGCTGAAGTTCCTATGCCTTATTTATTTTAAAACTGAAGTTAACTCCTTCCCACACAACCCAGATGTTCTTTCACTTTCCTTATTTTGATTTCCTGTTGACGAGAGTGATGAATTATGGAGATCAACGCTGTGGAAAGTGTTGATTCTAATAACCTAATCCTTGATGAAAGCTTCCTGGTCTCCAGTTTTCCTGAGCCCTTCATCCTGAATCTTTGTGCCACCTCTGGACCCTGGTGGACTTCAGTTTGAGCTTGGTAATGGATAAGCCTGCTAATTCTGGCACCATTCTGTCAACCTACATATGCCTGCATATCACAGGGATGGATGAACAGCCAAAGTGAAAATGAGATGAAAATAAATGATATTTGAAGACCTCGAAACAGATTAACTTGGATGTGCAACTAGTCTGGTTTGAAGAACACGTTGACTTTTTTTTGTCATATGATAGTTGGGGATTAAAAAAAAATTATGGCAGAAGATTAACTTTCCACTTCCTTTAATTTCTTGATTCAAATTGCTCCCAGTAGTGAAATATTAACTCGGCTCATTCCCTCTCTCTCTCTCTCTCTCTCTCTCTCTCTCTCTCTCTCTCTCTCTCTGTCTCTCTCTCTCTCTCTCTCTCTCCCCCTAACAGACCAGCCTGTTGTTGGAAGACTTGTTTGGCCCTCAGATGCTGCCTCTAAAGAAAAAGGAAGAGGCACATATTAAAACACTGTTTAAAAAAATTAAGTAAGTAAAGAGGAACCTTGATCCTTGAACTACCTCTAAGAGATATCATATTACATTCTTCAGGGTTTCCTAGGAAACCAGTACGGTGTAAAACAGATTCTTTGTCTCCAGCTTTTTGCAAAATTGTTTGAACCATCATATCTCATAAAAGGTTGCTTCACAGGCAATTTGAACAGCATTAAAAAAAAAAGCTTAATCTGCAGTTTGTTGCACCAATGAACGGGATACACCTTTATCGAGAACCTGAACGCTTCAGATTATATTTGCTGAAAACTGATAAGATTATGCCATTATTTTTAAAGCATCTGTGAAATCAAATCTTGTTGGAGAACTCCCCTCAACATGGTGAATCTCCCCTCCCCACCCCCACTACCTCAGCTCACCCGTCACATTAAAAAATAAAATCTAGCCTGAGATAGTTTCTGGAGATTCTTATCAGCACTTACACAATGAGAATATTAGCTAGGAGAGAAACACACATTTATCTCTCTGAAAATTGCTAGGACCTAGACAAATTTATGATTTACATAGTTTGTGTTTATTCTTTATTGCTTCTCACACTAAGGTGCGGGCGTGTGTGTGTGTGTGTGTGTGTGTGTGTGTGTGTGTGTGTGTGTGTGTGTGTGTGTGTTGCCTCTGTGTGCCACTAACTAGGTCAGAATTGCCTGTTTCCTATTCTTTTATCTGGAGTCACCCATGACACTTTTTCTACTGCTATTGCTGGGTGGAGTCAAGCTGAAATACTTGTTACATTGGTTTTGCAAAAGCCTAAATAAGGGCTTTCTTTTTTTAGAGGAGGGGAAGGGGATGTACTAATGGAAGTTTTTTTTTAAATTATGAACTTGACAAACACAAACATTTCCATATAAAGAGAGAAGAAAACAGAATGGTGTATGAAACTGTCAGTCTTTATTATAAGTAGCTTGGTTTTTTTAAGTATGTATTAAATTTAAGATGATACTAACAGTGACCTGCTTTTCTTTGTCCCCTTCTGAATTTTCTCTTCTGTGTATTCCTTCATACTCATAATTCTCCACCATCCATCAAAGGGTAGACACAATTTAATCATTCCAAAGACCTCTCCACAGTTTCACCAATAGCACATTAATGTGCTTGTATTCCCACAGATCCTCTTAGTCATGTCTAACTCTTTGTGACCCCATTTGGGGTTTTCTTGGCAGAAATACTGGAGTGATTTTGCCATTCCCTTCTCCATCTCATTTTACAGATGAGAAACTGAGGCAAATAGCATTAAGTGACTTGCCCATGGTCACAGAGCTAGTAAGTGTCTGAGGTGGGATTTGAACTCATGAAGATGAGTCTTCCTGACTTCAATCCCAGTGCTCTATCTACTACACCACCTAACTGTCCTACAGCCGCTCTAATAATTCATTTTCATTTTTGTCATCATTGCCCATCAGAGTTGAAGAAGGTGTTTTAACATTTGAAATGTTACCTATTTACTTTGGGTCCAGTTATAGCCTCTTTGAAAATAAATTGAACATTTGTCCTGTATTAAATTCCAGTGGCTTTGGAATTGGAGGAACTGGATTCCTTACTTACTACCTCTTTGACTTTGGGTAAGTCGGGGAATCTTCCCAGGCTTTCCTTAGTTTCCTCATCGGTAAAAATCTGGGATTTGGACTGAATGACCTCAGAGGGCCCTTCTAGAGACAAATCTATGCTCCTATGATCTAAGATCCTATTTTCCTAATACAGGATTATCTGCTTTGTTTAAAGAAGCCAGCTAATGTGATAATCCAAATCCTATCTTTGGTGTCATTAATAACCCTTGTTACACTGAATTTGTGGCACTCAGGACTCAGATTTTTTTTTTCTGATGTATCCAACAATGGCAGCTTTAGTGTATATTATATGTAGTTTTCTTTTTATGTGTATAATTACTAGCTGTGTGACCCTGGGCAAGTCACTTAATCCTTTTTGCCTCTATTTCTTCATCTGTAAAATGAGCTGGAGAAGGAAATGGCAAATCATTCCAGTATTTTTGCCAAGAAAATCCCAAAATGGGGTCATGAAGAGTTGGACATGATGGAAAATGACTAAAACAACAACAACAAAATGTGAGGAAGATAATAATAATAACAATAGCAACAATAAAAACTAACATTTACAAAAATGTATGAAAAGGGGAATGCTACAGTGCATAAAGAGCCAACTTCAAAACTGGGTTGAAGCCCCACATCCAATGCCTACTGGCTGTGTGATCCTGCAAAAGTCATATCCTCTCAGGAATCTAGGGAACTCTCTAGATCTTGTTGACCTGCATGCGAAGGAGTTTACTCACACAATAATTCCCTCTATCAAGGAAATCAGAGGTCTAGCCCTTATCCCTATATGTACATGCACATATACACAAAAATATTTTATCACATTTTATGCATGTTTAACGTGCCATTATAGGAGTCAGAAGACCTGGGTACATTTAACCCTAATTCTGCCACTACCTAGCTTTGTGACCTTGGGAAGGAAGGTCCTCTCTCAAACCAACAACGTCTTCCATAAAACAAGGGAATCTGACCTGACAGATGACTTCCAAAGTTCTTTCCTCCACAACATCCTATGATCCTATATCTAGGGACATACATAGGATAAAAACATTTCCTTCACACCAGTAAGGACTCTAGTCAGCCAACACATGCTGACACCTAACGGATAGATTTATAATACCATGAAATGCATTCTTCTCACAGGAACACATACAGGAGAGGCCTCTGCCTTCTGAACATCATGGGCAGGCCAGTTGTATAAAGTATTCAGGACTTCCAAAGACCTTAAAAAAAAACAATAGCCTGGATCTAAGTAAATTAACAATGGATAAGCCCTAGGGGATTTTTATTTGTTCTTCTTTAGAGGAGCTTACATGGAATATTAAGCCCATGTCACAGTGGCCTGGACAAGCCTTAGCTTTGTCCCTGCTCTCAGGCAAGTCATGATGGAGTGTCATTCTCCCCTCAGTTCATGCTTCCCTGAAGACATGACAGTTCATTTGGATCCCCAATTAGGGCTCAACCCTTGATTGAATGAAAAGAAAAAAAAAAGTTTTCCATTTCCCGTATTAAAGTTGACTAATTAAAATGAGATGCAGATGCTCTGCCACCTAGCAATTTTCACCTCACTTACTTTGGCTCCAATTATAGCCTTCCTTACTGACTTACACTGTTTAAATTACAAAGTCAGAAGGAAATATGACAATTTACCTGTTTCTATTCATATGTATAAGTCTAACACATTACCTTTTTCTTGAGTAATGAATGTGATTATAGTCCTAGCCTGGAAACAAGGAGATAATTCTTCAGCCATTAAATAAAAATAAAAACCAATAAGGCTTCTAGCAGCCAACACATGCCAACATTCAACAGATAGCTTTATAACACAATAAAATGCATTCTTCTCACAGGGATGTGGGAGGGAGTTGTGACTTCTGGATACCATTTCTATTTGGTATGTGGGACACTGCAGTCCCACTCTGATTTCTGGAGGAAGCTTTGATACTATGTACTTTATGTTAAAGGCTTCTTCTAACTATGAACCTAGATTCTAGTAAATTCAGGAGGAGGGGAAACTGGAACCATGAACCTATGATTTAACAATCCAAGAGCAGTGAGGTGGTTGGAATAAGCCTCTGAACTGAGGACAGGTATTCATTATCATTGGTTATTAAGTGTGTTTGCCACTGAACTGTAGACCAAGGAGAAACAAGGACAGAAAGGGAAAAAAAATGTTGGGCACACACTGGGATGCCAGGCTCAGGGCATGTGGTTTCAGGGTCTGATGGCCTGCAGAGATATGGAACCTAGACACGAGTCCAGAACAGTAAATGGAAAAGGAGACTTCATCAATAGGAACAGAACCAGCCTTCATAATCTGGCTAGAGGATTCGCTTTGGGCAAACCAACTGGTTCAGAAAGAACAGAGTCAGGATTTGATCCCAGGTCTCCTTATTACACATTGAATACTTGCAGATAGAAGAAAAAAGCAAGCTCACAGAACCACTGTGGCACAGTATGTTATGAGGAACACAAGATTTGGGACAAATATGAATTAAGAGGGTCATAATTTCCAAGAATAAGAAGGTGATAGTCCCTCTCTACTCTACCCTTGGCAGATCTCTTCTTAAGTATTGTATTCATATCTAGGCAATACAGTTTAAGGAGGACATTGATAAGCTGGAGAGCATCCAGCAGATGATGGCCAAGATGGAGGAGGGCCTTGAATTCATATTTTAATAGGATTGATTGAAGGAACTAAAGATGTTTAGCCTAGATAGGAGAAGACTCAAGGCAAGGGGACATGATGTCTCTTTTCAAGTATTTTGAGGGGCTTTCCTGTGAAAGAGGTATAGGGGAATAAGATTTGTTCCATTTGATCCCAGAGGACAGAAGCAGGAGTTCAGTCATTGCAATCGTATTTGATTCTTCATGACCTCATTTGTGTGATCACATTTGCTCTGTTGGCTGCCACATCATGCTGCTAATTCATTTTGAGCTTGTAGTTCACCAAAACCTAGGTCTTGTTTCAGACTTCTGAAACTGTTTTTTTTTAAATCCCAGTGTAAGACAACATTTATCCTTCTTGAATTTTTTATCATATTAGTTCAATACTTTAGCTCGTTGGATACTGTTATCCTGTTGGATAATGATTGTTGCCCAGCATACCAGCTAACCTTCCCAGTTTCATGCCATCTACAAATTTAAAGAAAATACTGTCTATGCCTTCCTCCAAGTCACTGACTTAAAATGCTAACTAGCACAGGGTCAAGTACAGATCCCAGGGTTACTCTACTGGAGACCTTTTGCCAAGCCGATGTTAAGATATTAATTCATCTTTTTGTGTCTGGCCTTCTGGATCTTTCTAACTTTATTAGTCTAGTTCATATCTCTCTATCCTCTCCATAAGAATAATATAAAGCGTGCTATTAAGAGCTTTACTAAAAATGTAGATAAGCTATATCCAAAGCATTCTCCTCATCTATCAGTTTAGTATAACTATTTTAAAAATAAGGTTAGTCTGGTG